TGTAAAATGTACATATAATATTATACAACAGAAAATTCGATGGTAAACGTTATGTATTTCATCAAAAAAGAAAGTGAACAAGAAGACTTCTATAACAAAATACTTTACAATCTACAATAATGCATAAAAAAGTGAAGAAAAAATATTTAACAAAGTTGGACATGAAAATAGATTAAGAACTCAAAAAAGCAGTTTAACTGAATGATAAGGTTTGTCGTTAGCATCCTTGGTGGAGTGGATTCGAGTCACAAAAATAGTCTCTCCAAAAATTGGGGTAAAGTTGCAAATTGCAATCATCTTGCTCTACTCAAACTCCGCTAAAGCTAAGTTTGTTTTTCCGACTAGTTAGTTTTCTTAAATCACTGCAATATTTAAATGTTTGTTTCCTAGTTCGTTTTTCTTAGTCTATTTGATTAAATACTAAATTTTTATTATTTATTTTTAACACATAAATTGGTATTCAGCCAACAAACATAAAATTTATAATAAAATATGTCATACAATATAAAACAAGGCTTGTAAATTGGATCGGATAGGATCAGATTCAGATGAGGATTCCACCATCCTATAAGATCCCAATACCAAGATCGAAAGATCCTACCTATAAGAAATTTTTTACACGATCCGGATCGATTGTGCCCAAATGGATCACAAGATCGTAGGATCATAAAATCTAGATCGAGGATTCTGATAACCATGCATGAGAGTTAAAGCATAATCAGCTTAGCTCAGCAGCTCATTTCCATAAAGGTTTCTAGTCCACTACTAGAATCATATTTTACAGTTTCACTTATACAAGGCATGTATGTGCATACTTATATCTATGACTTCTCTCACTTCTTAACTACTCATTTTCCACATTCCTTTATACTAAAAAACACCTCCTAATGTAGGACAGATTAGGAAACTGAGGCCAATATATTAAAGGAGGAATTAATAGGCATAAATTTTATCGCTTCTTATTATTTATCACTGAATCCTAAGTTAGTTTGTTCAAACTTATAGCGTGTTTCATGTGTATCTAAATGATGGATACATGGGTTCCCAAGTGTCCGAATCATGTCTAGGTCTTAAAAAAAATGGATTTTTGGCCATAACTCCTTCCTAAAGCCCGTTTTTCTTGAAAAGGACCAGCTCTAATTTTTTGGCTCATAAACTCTTCCAAAATAAAGAAATCTTGTAAGGACAAAAATTTTCAGATTTATATTTTATGTGACAAATTTACCCCTTCACACACACTCTATCTTACTCCTCTTTCTCTCCATCAATTTGTCATCTCTCTCTCAACTCTTTTCTTTCTCTATCTCTTTCTAAGAGCTCTCACCACCACCACCATCACCACCACCATCTCCACTACCACGACTACCATCGTTTCCATTACCTCCACCATCTCCACCAACACCGTCTCAACCACCGACACTGTTCGTCACCATCACCGCCACCACCGTTTCACCACCACCATCTCAACCACCAGTGCCATTCGATACCACTGCACCACGGGCAACCACCATCGTCATCCTTAGCCTCCAAGACCTCAGATCTGAGATTGACGACCACAGATTTGAGATCTATCATCTCATATCTATATTCTCTCCCTCTTTTTCTCTGTCTCCTCATCATGCTCTGTTTTTCAAACAGTAAAATTTTACTCTGGTTTGAACCAGATCTAAGACAATATATGTGCTCTCTATCTCTCTATTTCTCTATTTTTTTTCTCTCTATATATGTATATATTTTTATTTTAGTGCATTTTTTTTTTTTTTTGTCAATATCAGTTTGAATATTGATTTTGAGATCTTAAACAAAAATGTTATTTTAGTACGTTCAATAGTAAAATTTTACTCTAATATAGTGTAAAACCCTGTGTAAGAGTAAAATTTTACTGTTAACTTTAAAATTCAATGTTCTGGATGATTTTTCATTTAATAGCTATATGAATAATGGTAATAATTATAGCAAGTGTGGTGGTTAGTGATAACAATGGCAAAAATTCACTATTTATATGTTTAAAATAAATAGTAAAATTTTACTGTCCAAATTAACAGAGTAAAATTTTATTGTCTAATAGAGTAAACTTTACTGTCACTGAAGAATCTCGCCGAAAAATTTTCGCCAACCGACAATGATCGACGGAAAATTGTCACCGGCCGGCGGTGGTCAGTGATGGTAGACAATGGTCGGTGGTGGTTGTGCTAATTTAAGAAAATGATAGAAGTTGACGGCATTATTGTCATTTTTTTAAATATTTTAAACTTTGTCCTTAATGAATTAAATGTTTTTATCTTGTCCTGTTGACAATAACGTTTGAGATTGAGGGACTTATTACCAAAAACCCCTAAAAAAAATTTAAAAAGAATAATAGGGCAAGTGTGGGTGTGTATCTGATGCATGTCAGGAAGCGTCTGACATGGACACACCACCTTTTTCAAAGTGTCCATGCTTCTGAGATAATAATAACTAAAACAAAATAAAATAATTAGTGTTGGCCGATACAAACATAGCAACTCTTCAGAAGCATATATACTATTTGGCATAACACTGTCCTTAACAAAACAGCCAATAGTAATTGTAATACATCATTGGCCATCGCAATCATGTTATTAAGGATAGCATCAGATAAAAAAATATATATATATCTATGAAGTGATTCCAATTTTGATGCGGAAATCCTGATAATTCTCAATACATAAGGTTCCAAAAAATCTTCACTCAAGCCAAAAATGAACTGACAATACAGAATCCAAGTTATAAGGCTGGTAAGAATTACTAACTGCTTACCGTCGTTAGAATCCAAATTATAAGGCTGGTAAGTTGTAAGGCTGCTAATGCTTAGACTTAGTTACTTCTACAACTGTTCAGTAAAAATGAAAGCTATAACAAACAAAGATGACAAGTAAGATTACAATGAAACAGAATATATACATATATAGCATTCATTTCCCTGATGTACAACTTCAGTTCATATGCGTAAAAAGGTACATCGGTAATTACCTCACAAATTCGGCATGAAGGACAGGTCCATGAACTCCAATGAAATAAATCTGTAATCAACTGATCAGAATTTGAAAATTTTGCAATATTAACAAAGTTCCAATCCCAAAATAATACCTCTATGTTGAGCCCAAGCTTTCAGGCAGTGCCTATGATACTTCTTGCCACAACTTTTGCATGACAGCATCTTCCTTGCTCTCTCACTTCCTTCATTTTCACCAAGATAGCATATCCGGCACATAACTTTGACATTAGACTGATCTTGATCTTCTCCAGGAATATCTTTAGAGGCATCCTGTGAGCAGGAAATTATGGTTTAATATTGCCAGAGCAACAAAATGAGTATATAATACAGATAACCATATATAATACAGGCATAACCACTAAAGAGGAAAGTATAGTTCGATATTTCTAAGAAACAAATGAGTACATAATACAGACATATAATGTAATCATTAAAGAGGCCGAAGGTTCCAGTAAAAAATCCAACACATCCATTAACTCTGGAGTCTTGATGCAGAAGAAGAGCTGTGGCAGTATAACAGTGGGTATGGCAAGTGCATGTTTGAAACAACAAATGAGTGACAGTTTTTTCTCCTTTCCTTTATTTCTATCTTCTCTGTACTTTTTATTTATTTCTTTTTTTAGCAAATCGAGGGAGCAAGAAATCGTCTACCATTCTAATCGGTCTAAGCCATATGGAATACAAGGACAGAAGCTTCATATATCCAACTGACAACTACAGAATTGTTTCAATTTCTAACATTGAATGGATGGCTAAATCTCCAGACCGCAATGATCAAGCAAGACCTTAGTTGCATGAAGGAGGGACAGGTGGAGGAGCAAGGGCATATAGAATTTTCTTAGGTTGGGAGCACCTATGGGAGCATGTGTATATATTTATTTATTAAATATATAGAGAAATTCTAAAAATTATTTTTTGCTGCTGCATAATATATGCATTAAAATATGAGTAAATATTAGAAATTCATGTCAGCTATAAATTGTCCTTATTAAGTATAAATAATATTATATAAATAGAAACAATTACAATAAATTTGAGTTATTTTTCTTTCGTTTCTATGAGATTTATATGTTTGAGAGGCGTTTATCACGGTTGGGAGTGCGTATCTTCTCGACGGGAGCAAGTTTCTTACTGGGGAGCATAGAATCACATTTATTTGTAAGAAACTCCACTCGAGTAGAAGGTTCCTGCTACCAAGGGCTAAATCTTTTCGAAGATCAAATAATCCCAAAATGTGTGGTATAATGAATAATCAGATCTGGTGTTACAAAAGCACCCTTGGAAAGTCTAAGAAGCAAAATCCACAGCCCCTACATCCAATGGTAAAGGTTGCCATCGTCGGTGCCAACCAAACAGCTAATGTCAAAGTTGCCCACAAAGATTGTCGTCTTCATCATCATCCTTCTTATATAGGTATTTCAACCATCTTTCCTTCTTTTTTTGATAATAATAAATAGACAATATACTCAATTCTTACATTTTTCCCCTCTAGCCTTACCAACAGCAATAGCATATTTAATGTTAAGATTATCTTCCTTAAACAGTATCCTGAATTCTTCCATAAAAAACAAACACACACGCACGCAAACCAATCTCTTCTTCTCACACAACCCCAATAAAGCCTCATTCCCCTTTTGTCCATCAAAGTTAGTTGTAGATTTCATTTTAAGTTCTTTATCCTCTCTAAAAATATTTTCCCTTTTCCGTTTCTATGAGGTTTTGATTCATAAACTTCAAATCTAACACAAACTTCAATAATTTCTGCCACCATTTTGTTTCCTCCATCCAATTTAGTCACCTTCCAATCCACTTGTTAAATCTGCTGTTGACTCAAGATTCCACCTTCACCATTATTAACGAGTTCACACTTCTCCAAAATACGACTAAGCTTTTCTATTTTCTTCAAAAATATTGAACCATTAACTTCAAAATTGAAAGAAATTTCAAACTGGGACAACCTCCTTGAAACATAACCTTCCTCGATACCTATCCTCATTATTGCATCTTTCTGACTCCCCTCGACTTCCTGCAAATAGAAAGTATTTGGTAGCTCTATATCAAATGGTGCAGACACATCCAAACACTGTTGAAAAGGAGACATGAATGAACTCCAAGCCCCTTGTACTGCCATATCCAACACCACCTCCATTTCGTCAACTTTTACCTCCTCCTCTTAACTGATATTGAACAAAAGAGTTTCATTCTCTTTATTAATCATTGCCAAGAAAAGACAAGTCTCTGCGGACCACCTTTCCTCCTCTTCACATCTCTCAGATTCCTCCATCCCAATCAAAATAATCGATTGACTCTCCTCATCATGCATCTCCCCCACCCTTCCTTCCTTCAATTCAACAACAGCCCAGATCATTCCTGTTATCAGTTATCATCAAGTTGCTTATTTTCACACAATTGACCAATATTCATGCTGGCACATATTAGGCATATTTGACTCACCTCTAGCAAACAGAGAAGATATTAACACCCCCAACACTTTCTATAACCATTTGTACAAAAAGACGCTTTCCTACACAATTATATATCCATCTGATGTGATTTCTTGTTTGCCAACTTCACAATCACGTTTTCATTAGAAAAACTATTCAAATATTGAATTCTAAGGTGGTGGCCATTAATGTAATCATGTCTTACCTTTGTTTTATGAACTTGACGTTGATTCATCTTTATCTCAAATAAAGTGCGTTTAAATGGTAGGACTTTAACCTCACAAGTAGATGTGGGAATGGGCTTCGTGGCCTGCCCTGCCCAGCCCAACCCAATCTAGTGTAGTCTGATATTTTTAAGGCTTGAGGTAAATAATTGGCCCACAGAGGCGGGCCAAATTGAGATTTTGAACTTGTTTAATTATCAGTATGGCCTTGGAATGAGTAATTGTAGCCCCACCAAACCCGGCCTACCCATTTAAAAATACCGGCTTTAATTTTTATATTATTTAGTTACACAATAAGCTAAAATTAATAAAAGATAAGAAAAGTATAAATATATGCTTTCTTTTATGACTTAAATTTAAATATTTGTTAAACGACCCAAAATAATTTTACTATTAGATTTTTCGACAACCTAAATGTAAATAATTATTAAAAGGGTCTAATTCATTTAACAAACCTTCAACACGCACACACACACACACACACACACAAAAAGGTCATATATATTTTAAGTGGCAGGTTTTGAAATTTAGAAGCTCTATTATGGTCAAGCTTGGAATGATTAGATTAGGCTCAATGTCAGGCCAGGTTGGGCTTGCGATGATACATATGCACTCAAACACAACCCAACATACTATGCCTTGTTGAGAGTCATCACTAACTCTCTCTCTCTCTCTCTCTCTAGAATCTTCTCTATCTAGATCTTTTCTCTTCTATCTCTAGAAATTTCTACACTTGAAAATTCAGTCATCGCCGATAATGGAGAAGCCAGAAACTTCTAGTAGGTGATAAACCAACTTATTATGTTGGTGGCAAAAACTATAAAAAGAGGCTTGGGTTTCTATTGTGTGTGTGCAAGAGAGAACACCAAAGTCTAAGGCCTTGTTTGGTTTGTGTTTCTCAAAAAAATTTAGGAAAAATTCTCTACAAATAGCTTTCAAAAGTAATCAAACCAAACAAATTTTCCCAAATTTTTTTTCCAAAACTTGTTTGGTTAACAAGTTTTCCAAACAAATCTCTCTTTCATACACATCAAATCAATCACTTTTTCCAAAACTCTCTCTCAAAACAATTTTTCAAAACATCTTTTGAAAAAAAACCAAACCAAACAAATTTTCGTACTTTGTATCTCAAAACATGTTTCTCAAATACAAACCAAACAAGCCCTAAGAGTCTGATTGGTTAGATATTGTAAATTGTGAAGTCTAGTGTGTGCTAGGAATTGAAAAGTCACAAAGTAGGTGCAAGTATGTGACGTGAAGAAAATAAGTAGTGTGACGGTTATTTTTTGGCCTAGTAAAGTTTGTCTCTTACCTGTTATGTATCGTTACATGTGTGAGAAGCTATAAAGTGTATGCTGGTGCACTGTTGTAGTGTACAAGTGTCTTGTGTACATGTCAAATTCAACATGCCCAACCCTACCCACAAGGAATTAAAAAGCCCGAAACCTTTACAAATGTCATCTTCACAGTTGGTATGAATAGTTCCCAAAATATTTGAACACAAATGTCCAAAACAGTATTTAGTAAATGCAAAATCAATAATTTTTTGTTCCCATGCATGCATCAACCAACAAACTCAAAAATCAGATACTACAAACACATGCCTAAACTAAAAAATTGAAAACCAAATATTTGTCTTCCTATGCATTCATCATTAGACAAACTCAACCCTTAGAAGATTTTCAATCCTTCACCATTTCTTTTATCAAATTTGAATTTGATGAAAAAGTGCTAAAAAATCATCTTGAATCATTTCATCAAATGTCCATCACATCAAGGAAGTCCTTTTTTTTTCCATCAAATTGAGAACTCATCAAATTTGAATTTGATGAAAATTTAAAATGATGAAGCATTGGAGATGTTTTCTTCAAATTTGATGAAAAGAAAAATTTGGGATAAGAGTAATTTTTAAAAAGGTTTTGCTGAAAATTTGAAGAAAGGATTAGAGTATAGCAAATCGAGGTTTTTACTCAAATTTGAAATCAAATTAGATGAAAAAGAAAATGATGGAGGGTTAGAGATGCTCGTAGAAGCCTTGTATGTGAAGCTTAAAAAAAAATTATACATCAAAAACATACATGACTGAAAAGCAAGAGCATATAGAAGAAACTATCAGCATATGAAGTGACAATTGAGTAAAATTTTCCCCCAATTTCTTATCTTACCCTATAAAACCAGATCCAAATCCTCTCCATTTCATGAATAAAATGGAAATCTCCATTTTAATCAATGGCGGCGAAAGATCCACATCAACAAACAATTAAGCTAAATGTTAAAACATACAATGACAAGGTAGTTACATACTATTGATTTTAAAATTAGTGATGTGCTGCAATCTTATGAAATAAAATGGACAACTCCACTCCATCAATCAAATAGAGTATAGATCAAAATTCCACAAAACCCATAAAACACAAACCCCACATAAACAATTCAACACTTCAAGCACTCGACATCAACTAACAAATCAAAATCAAAAAACCAAAGATAAGAATCTCACCACCAAAGCACCGGACTCAAACCGCCGAGCGTAATCCTCAGCGACCAAAGACGCGGCGGCCGCCTTCCTCTGCATTGCAGCACGCTTCCTCTGCGCCGACAACATCTCCTCCCCATCGCCGTCTCCCAGCCCCACCGCAACAGGCGGCGGCGGCGGCGCAACGACCTTCGGAACAGCGACTTGGACGGTGGCTTTGGCTCGAACCGTAAGAAGCCAGGGGTCCTTGAGGAAGTCCTCAACCCTAGAAACCTCTTCCAAGAACTCATTCTTGGCCTCGTCGCTATGCAGCTCACGAGGAAACCCTAGCGAGCAGAAGCAGATTCTCCGACTGCACAAAAAAAAAGAGAGAGATAACACAAAATATAGAGAGAGAAAGTGAAGATGAAATTGGAGAGAGAGACGGAGAGATAGATATTGGGGAAAAAAATTGGGAGAGAAGTAACCATGTAATTGGGCAAGCGACGTGAAAGGCCATACACGAGATTTGAAATTTTGATTTGAGCGAGCGAATTTGAGCGAGCCAGTGATTGTTCCTTGATCAAAAAAAAAAAAAAAGAATAAAATAAATTGAAAATAAAAAAATAAAAACGTCACACACGAGAGACTGTGAAGCGTTTGGCGATGGGGGAAGAGAGAGGTGAAGAGAGAAGGGTTTTGCTTAATGTATTTTGGTAAAATGAATAGTTAGGTTTTTTTTTTTTATATGTAAATGATGAATAAGTGTTTCAAACGACGACGTCTCATTCGTTGATTATTGTTTTGTAAGGGCCTGTTTGGTTGTGTAAAATCTGTCAATTGGGGCAATTGGCTCCTTTGGATATTAAAGTCCCCTTTGACAACATTATTTTAGTCTTAAAGTCAAAAAATATTAAAAAAGTCAAAAATTAACAAATTATACAAAAAAAAAAGTTAAAGATTTTTTTTCCTGTCTATTTTTTGCATATTTTTTTATAAAAAATTAAAAAATCATCTCAAACTTACTAATTTTTTTATCTCATATTTTAACTAAAAAATCAAAAAATTATAGCATGTTAACAAACGAGGCCCAAACTAAGGTAGCGTTTGGTTTAAAATTCAAATCGTGATTTGAATAAAAAAAATTCAAAATTCATAATCAAATATACAACTCAAAACTCAATACAAAAATTCTTTTCAAAATTCATAACAAAACTCTTTTCAAAACTCTATTTAAAAAAAGAAATCAAAAAAATATTTTTTCATTTTGTTCTTTAAAATTATTTTTTATTTTTATTTTTGAAGAAAAATATTTTTTTTTTCAAAAAGAAAATTTTGTTTTTTTTTATTTATTGGCCAAATAATTTGTTATGATTTAGATATGTATAGGTAGAGATGACAATCGGAACCCGGCCCGACGGGGACTAGATCCCCTGACACCAAATTGAGCGGTTATTCCTCGAAAAATACCCCCGACGGGCCGAGGATGGTATTCGAAAATGAATCCCCGATGACTTTCGGGCCGGGGGCGGTGATATGTTTTTTAGCCTAGTTCCCGGCCCCTGACCCCGTTACTCCCCGAAATAAAATTATTACTTTACCCCTGTGTATATATAGCTGGAATACACACATAATCACTTTGCTGCTGTTGCACATAAAAAAAAATGGAGAGGGAGGGAGAGAGAGATAGAGAAAGCCGATCATCCGCCGTCGCCGATCTCCTCTGCCGAGAGAAGAGAGTTATCCTCTTCACAGCGCCGATCTCCTCTACCTACTCCTTTGCCGATCTCCTCCTCCGTCCTCCTTCGCCGATCTCCTCCACCGCCCTTCTCCGCCGACTCCTTCGCCGATCTGCTTCTCTTTCTCTGTGTTATACACACACATATATATATGTATATATATTATAGATTGAAGCTCAGATCTTGAGATCTATTATGATGATAATATGTTGTTGATTTTTTATTTATTTATTTATTTATTTTGGATCTGTTGGTTTTTTTTTGATCTGTTGTTCTTTTTTTTTCTCACAAATTTAGTAAATACAACACACATAAAAATAAATAAATATTTGCAATAAAAAATATTTACCCTAAAATAAAAATTAAGAAAATTTTTAAATATTTAAAAAAAATAAACCCAAAAAAATTCAAAATACAACTCAAAAGTCTTTTCAAAACTCATAATTAAATAAATTTTCTCTTTTCAAAACTCAAAACTCAAACCATACTCAAAATTCAAAATACAACTCAAAACTCAAATCATGATTCAAAACCTAAACCAAACGGAAAAGTTTTAAGGGTTAATTAATGAAAAGTTGTATATAAATCTTTTTTACTGATAAAAATACGTGTTGAAAACAACTCAAAACTCAAATCATAATTCAAAAACTAAACCAAAGGGAAAAGTTTTAAGGCCTCGTTTGGTAAGTAGTTTTTTTAGTCAAAAAGCCAAAAAGTCACTAAAAAACTAAAAATCCAACAACCCATACCAAAAAGTCAAAGATTTCATTTCCTCTCTACTTTTTACACATCTTTTCGTAAAAAGTCAAAAAATTATCCCAAGCATATTAGTTTTTTTTACATCACTTTTTAGTCAAAAAGTCAAAAAGTTACTAAAAAAACATGCCCCCAAACGAGGCCAAGCGTTAATTAGTGAAAAGTTGTCTATTAATCTTTTTTAGTGAGAAAAATATGTGTTGAAAAGTCGTCAAAAAAACTGTTGACGTCAGAAAATTAGAAGAAAAAGTTGTCGATGGCCAGTCGCAGTAGTAATAAGGTGGACAAATAAATGATATGTGTATATATATAGGTGATATTTGGGCAAATAAGTGTCTTTTGGGCCAAAAAAGATTTAAGCTTAAACGTATTGACCAAAAAATTTCAAAAATTGACCTTCACCCTAAGTGCCCAAATTTTAAGGAGTAAAACCATCTTTAAATCACATTATTCTAGTTAAGAAATGACTCGCTTTCATGTCACTATTCAAACTTCATCTTTACATTCTATTTTGTGTACCACCATTTTGGGACTACAACGATAATTTGAACTATTCATTTGGTAAGTCCAACTATAAAGATAAATTAGTTTTATCAGATATCACTAGACACATTGACAAATTATACTTTATTTTTTAAAAAGGACAATTGTGAATTTAAACTTAAACTGTCTATTTTATAAAATAAAATGTTCTTCATTTATCTATACCAAATAAAATTGATTTATTGCATAGACAATTTTCACTGTGAGGTTTACGGGATAAACGGTTGGGATCATTGTTGGGAGTTCATGTTGGAAAATTTAGAAGTGAATGGAATTGGACTCCATTTGAATAAAAGAATGCAATCCTTCATGGTGTCTATTCATATGAAAGGGTGTGAACCCAAGAGACATGGCCATTCTAAAGGTCACAAATACTTCTATAAATACCAAGGTTTGTTTTAGGATTCATACATTATGTCTAATTGAGTATATAAGAGAGAGTGTATGGCACAAATTGGTTTACTGTACACACAGAAGTTGTGCAATTCCTGTGTGAGATGATCGTTGTATCCTAGAGGCAAAACGTCCATTAATGGCAAGCACCAGAGGCGAGGGCGAAATTCTATCTTAAAGACACAGTATTCAAACACTGGCCTTAATCACAATCTGTATTAAATTTACAGAATTTCTATAAAAAAAAATTCTTTTTGTTTTATTTTATTATTTGTTTGCATTAAATTGATTTTTTCGAAAATATTTTCCTACAATTTGAAGACAGAATTTCAATCTGGTTACAGTTTGTTTATACAAATTCTAAGATACCGATTTATTTGTTTTTGATTAAATTTATTTTTGGCAAATTCTTTTTCCTACAAATTGTGTTTCATGTTTATGGTAAAACTCTACCATTGTTTACTGTTTTTATTCAATAGTAATAGAATCCATAAACGTTTTGGTTTTTATCTGAAATTTTGTTTTAGGAATTCTATTGCTTCATGATCTTTTCTAAGAAACAAGTTTTTCCCGTAATTGTTATACACCCGTAATTGTTATAGACTATTTGTTATAGACCCGTAATATGTATAGTTACGGAATAGAATGCATTTGAAATTGTAACTGATTTGTTTTCATAAAAGAGTTTTGTTTGCCATCCGTTAAATTCTAATTAACATTCAATATATGTGGTTTGAACTAAAAACTTTGATTTTTATTTTATTTTTTTACTGTGCGTTGTTTCTGCAATTCTGTTTCAATATGTTGGTTATTGTATAGATAATAGAATTCAGCTTGCTTGGTTGTGTTTTTTTTAAAATATTTTTTAGAAAATTTTACTTTCTTATTTTTCGTATTTTTTTATTTTTACTGATTTTTTTAATATTTTAAGCAATTTTTTTTACTTTTTAGACATACCTAACATAAATATGCCTAAAAAGTAAAAAATTTGTGGAAAAAACCTTTTAAAAATTCACTAAATACCAAAAATACAAAAAAAATACGAAAATTCAGTACATTTTTTATATTTTTATGTATTTATTAAAATTTTAAAATATTTTATTCACAATTTTTTTACTTTTTAGATATATCTAAGTAAGGTGCATCTAAAAAAGTAAAAAAAATGTTTAAAATTTTAAAAATATTCACTAAAAATAAAAAAATATGAAAACTAAAAAACTGAGTTTTCAAAAAACTTAATTCAAAAAACAGAAACCAAACACACTGATTAATTTTTTTTTCTATGATATGAATCCTTATTCAATGCTGCTTATATGCAAATATGATTAAATTATTTTGTGTCATAAGGAAGTTAAACTCTTGGGCCTTTTCCCAAACTAAGCCTCTTTTGCCTCCTACTTCCCAAACTAGGCCTAATTTTGACGGAATTCCCAAACTAAGCTAAAGCGCTATTACAAATAGCGCTTTAACTGTTTGGAGGCCAAAATTTGATGAATAGTTAAGGTGCTATTGTGAATCGCGAATTTAATTAATAAAACGCTGTTCGGAATAGCGATGTTAGCCTCAATTATAAAACGCTATTATGAATAGCGCTTCATTTCCTATTTTTCTGACCTCAATTATAAAATACTATTCTGAATAGCGCTTCATTTTCTGATTGGTTTAATAAAGAAAACGCTATTACAAATAGCGAGTTCACTTTTGAATAAAACGCTATTACAAATAACGATTTTAATTGTGAATAAAACGCTATTTAGAATAGCGTTTAAACTGCTTCAGTGGCCACCCCTTTCCTGGTGTCATTGTTTTGGTGATAATGTGATTCATAAAATTTTATTGGCTTTTAAAGCCATTGTCATGTTAAAATTTTTTTTTTTTTCTTTTGTTTTTGTTTTTGTTTTGGTTTAGAAGGTTAATTCAGAAATTTTACATAATATGAGAAAAACCTCTTTTCATATATTTATTTTACATAATATTTTTCATATATATAATTTTAAAATCATATTCATTTAGATATTATTAAGCCAATCAAGTTCATTTACAAAAGTCATGGTTTCACTGTTCACTATTGTAGGTATGGATTGAAACCACACTTTCACTGTTCATTTAAATTAGATTTAATTTTTTTTTGTAAATATTTTTTTTTCTGTTGTCATTGTTTCGGTGATAATGTAATTTATAAATTTTGTTTGGCTGTACTGAAGCCGTTGAAGCCGTTCTCATATTAAATTTTTTATTTTTTCTTTTGTCTTTGTTTTGGTTTAGAAAATGTAATTCAAAATTT